ACAGGGTGAAGATCATAGCAGCATGATCAGGTGAGCATAAAGAAAAACTTTACCCTTTAAAATTCAGGGAGAAAAAAAAAAAAATTAACAACTGTCCTAGGGCTATGAGGACAGGAAAAAAAGACTGAGGTGTGATGGCTGATGGGGTTCCTATTATACAAGGGGAAGGTATGCTCAATTGTTTAATTGATTGTGTTTCCTGTCCTGAGGGTTAGAGGGAGGAGCTAAACCCATATGTTAAATGCTGCCATGATTAGCCAGGAAACAAGGATTCCCAACCTTGTGAGTGGTTAAACATAAAAAGAAAAGAAAGAAACCGCGCCCAAGGAATATGAATAAAGTGATATACAATGTAATTACAGGACCCACCATTGTGACATGCTAAAGGAACTAAACTGGCTGTCGCTGGAATCCAGACGCACCCTTCATCTTTCCAGCCTTGTGCTTAAGAGCTTTTCTGGGAAACTCCCACCCTACCTGAACAAAATGCTCTCCCCAGCTGTTCCCACTTTCTATAAGCTCCGATCCAGTACAAGCACTTTACTTAGTCTACCTCAATACAAAAAGAAAGCGGCCCGATCCTCCTTCTCCTATAGAGCACCGCAATTGTGGAATGACCTCCCGCACAATTTAAAATCTTCCCTAAGCCTAAAGTCATTTAAGAGATCCCTCTCTACATACCTCAAAACAGAATGCACGTGTCATGGTTGATTATATATTTCCTGCCTGTTCTATGTAAAATTTTGTATATATTGTGTATTAATATTGTTTTTGTATTTTATTGTACCCTAATGTAACAATGCAATGATTTGTGGACCCAGGACATACTTGAAAACGAGAGAAATCTCAATGTATCTTTCCTGGTAAAATATTTTATAAATAAATAAATAAATATACGTACACAAATATGTATGAATGTTATACACTTTGGACCTCAAGAGAAACAAAAATAATAATGATAGTACTGTACAGTATGTACAGAATGATAAGTGATGTGTGATCTATGATGATTACACTCACATTTGCTTGAGCTATATCAGAGCTCAGCTGTATCAGCTAACCTGGACGGAACAATCGCTGTCTAAGGATGTAGGTAGGTGCAGATGTCCAAATGGCTCAGATGAATTGCAGTTTGCAGTGCATATATGGGAATAAATACAAAAAGAAGTGCCCCAATGGTGAAATAAGTATGCTTAAATATATGTAAAATAAAAAAAAGGGTATTGTACTCACATTTACTAGAGCAGAACTTGCTCTAGTGTGTACAGCAAATCCCCCACCCAGGGATTTGCTGGTTCCAGGAAGTGAAGTTTGGAAAAATTAAAAAAGTGTAAATATAAATATAAAATACTCTTTTTATTTACCAAACATAAAATATGATAACAACAATAAAAATTGTTGAAGCTCTTGAGTTTCTCTTGAGGTCCAAAGTGAATAAGATTCATACATATTTGTGTACGTATATCACTTTATTCATATTCCTTGGGCGCGGTTTCTTTCTTTTCTTTTTATAAAAGAACATTCTAACACCTTTTTAAATTTCTGGCCTCCCTATAAAAGTGAACTAATTATACTCACCTTTCTTCCCTTGTCAGACCATGGCCACCACTCCTCCCCCGACAAAGATCATTAGTGACAATGATCTCAGCCAATCCAATGCTTCCCCGATGCTTGGGGATAATTGGGGCTACTGTGCATGTGCAACAATTGTCGCGATGTGTCAATTTGCATCTCCTCATAGAGACACTATTTCTCAATGCATTCAGTGTTTTCATACAGACTGTGAAGACACTAAACATTGGTCCATCAAGGATTGGCAGGTGGACTAAGTGACAGCCATTAGAGGTGTCCATAGGGACAAATGTAAACACTGTACTTTTATAGAAAAGGCAATGGTGGCATTGGCGAGACTGCAGGGACAGTCTTTTTGCACCAGAAGCACTACTTTAATTAACCCCTTAAGGACACATGACATGAGTGACATGTCATGATTCCCTTTTATTCCACAAGTTTGGTCCTTAAGGAATAGTGGTTATGGTTCTTAGAGTGCCCCTTTATGGGCTGATACATTACATAACATCCTTTGCCCATCACAAAGCTGCCTTCTAGTTTAGCTTTCTTAACCACAGTGACAGCTCCTGGGTTTACATCTCTTTATGAGATTATCACACCAAGCTCCATTGTATCACGTGTAGCCAGTCTTTATCTGATAATAAAAAAAACTCTCAATTGGAATTAGACTGTTTATATCTGTCCCTGTACTGCTCTGCTTCTACAATGGTTATTATTTTTTTAATAAAACAGAATTAGTAGATAAAGGGACAGCACAGCAACACAATAATATACATGACAATGCATAGATTGACAATCTCTGTCTTTCATTTATTTATAACATTTATAATATTAAATATTGATAATATAAGATTTAAAGAATGGGGATTGGTGAGGAATACATGTTAAAATACATTTACAGGAAATAAATGCAACATAGCAGCAATATTAACCTATGTGACATTGTGACTGCAGTGTCCTCACATAAACCTGTATAAACCTCTCCTCTCTGTATTGTCCATGACAAGTCCCTGAAATGGGGCCAAATCATATAGATTTGTTCCATTCACAGACACCTTGTAACAAAGTATTTCCAGAATGAGTCTAGACAGCCTTTAACTCTTTGAGCTCTGCATTGCTGCACTGGCATTTAAACGGTTACAGTCCCCCTGCTATCATTATTAACCTTTTGAGCTCTGCATTGCTGCACTGGGCATTAAACGGTTACAGTGCCCCGCTATCATTATTAACCCTTTGAGCTCTGCATTGCTGCACTGGGCATTAAACGGTTACAGTACCCCTGCTATCATTATTAACCCTTTGAGCTCTGCATTGCTGCACTGGGCATTAAACGGTTACAGTCCCCCTGGTATCATTATTAACCCTTTGAGCTCTGCATTGCTGCACTGCATTTAAACAGTTACAGTCCCCCTGCTATCATTATTAACCTTTTGAGTTCTGCATTGCTGCACTGGGCATTAAACGGTTACAGTCCCCCTGGTATCATTATTAACCCTTTGAGCACTGCATTTCTGCACTGGCATTTAAACGGTTACAGTCCCCCTGCTATCATTATTAACCTTTTGAGCTCTGCATTGCTGCACTGGGCATTAAACGGTTACAGTCCCCCTGCTATCATTATTAACCCTTTGAGCTCTGCATTGCTGCACGGGCATTTAAACGGTTACAGCCCCCTTGCTATCATTATTAACCCTTTGAGCTCTGCAGTGCTGCACTGGGCATTAAACGGTTACAGTCCCCCTGCTATCATTATTAACCCTTTGAGCTCTGCATTGCTGCACTGGCATTAATCGGTTACAGTCCCCCTGCTATCATTATTAACCCTTTGAGCTCTGCATTGCTGCACTGGGCATTAAACGGTTACAGTCCCCCTGCTATCATTATTAACCCTTTGAGCTCTGCATTGCTGCACTGGCATTAATCGGTTACAGTACCCCTGCTATCATTATTAACCCTTTGAGCTCTGCATTGCTGCACTGGCATTTAAACGGTTACAGTCCCCCTGCTATCATTATTAACCCTTTGAGCTCTGCATTGCTGCACTGGGCATTAAATGGTTACAGTCCCCCTGCTATCATTATTAACCCTTTGAGCTCTGCATTGCTGCACTGGCATTTAAACGGTTACAGTCCCCCTGCTATCATTATTAACCCTTTGAGCTCTGCATTGCTGCACTGGCATTTAAACGGTTACAGTCCCCTTGCTATCATTATTAACCCTTTGAGCTCTGCATTGCTGCACTGGGCATTAATCAGTTACAGTCCCCCTGCTATCATTATTAACCCTTTGAGCTCTGCATTGCTGCACTGGGCATTAAATGGTTACAGTGCCCCTGCTATCATTATTAACCCTTTGAGCTCTGCATTGCTGCACTGGGCATTAAACGGTTACAGTCCCCCTGCTATCATTATTAACCCTTTGAGCTCTGCATTGCTGCACTGGCATTAATCGGTTACAGTCCCCCTGCTATCATTATTAACCCTTTGATCTCTGCATTGCTGCACTGGGCATTAAACGGTTACAGTCCCCCTGCTATCATTATTAACCCTTTGAGCTCTGCATTGCTGCACTGGCATTAAACGGTTACAGTCCCCCTGCTATCATTATTAACCTTTTGAGCTCTGCATTGCTGCACTGGGCATTAAACGGTTACAGTCCCCCTGCTATCATTATTAACCCTTTGAGCTCTGCATTGCTGCACGGGCATTTAAACGGTTACAGCCCCCTTGCTATCATTATTAACCCTTTGAGCTCTGCAGTGCTGCACTGGGCATTAAACGGTTACAGTCCCCCTGCTATCATTATTAACCCTTTGAGCTCTGCATTGCTGCACTGGCATTAATCGGTTACAGTCCCCCTGCTATCATTATTAACCCTTTGAGCTCTGCATTGCTGCACTGGGCATTAAACAGTTACAGTCCCCCTGCTATCATTATTAACCCTTTGAGCTCTGCATTGCTGCACTGGGCATTAATCGGTTACAGTCCCCCTGCTATCATTATTAACCCTTTCAGAGCAGCCATGATGCAATGCATTGTTACATTGTTACCATGAAGCTCCCATTCCATAGGGTCTCTGACAGAGAGAGAGCTGACAGGAGACATTTGCAGCATTTCTCTCCCAGTTTCAGACATGCACAAAAAAGGAGCTCGTCTAGCGCTGTCTCTGTCCTCATTGCCTTAAACGACCTCTGTTGCAGGTCTGATTACTGTATGCCCCCCCTCCCCTCCCCTGGCTACCAGCCACTTCTGTGCAGTATCTTGGACTAGGTCCATGGCTGGCAAAGCTCAGCCAATCTGCTCTCTCTGTGTCAGTACAAGGCAGAGAGGGAGGAGGGGGCCATGGTGTGCAGCCTCCATGTTAATTGATAGCTCTGGGGTCCAATCCCTGAATGTGCAGAGCTGGGGAGGCTGGGCTGTGCCTGCAGAATGGAAGCAGCAGAGATCATGTCAGGACTGGGCTATGCATTGCTTGGGGGGGGCTCCTGCTGCACCCCACCAGCAGCAATCAGGAGGCAGTGCAAGAAGGGGGAGAGGGGGGCTGCACCCCTAGAAAGGCAGGGAGGAGCTGCAGGACGTGGCCATGCCTGGGATTGGCTGGGAGGCTCTGGCTCCCAGACACTGGGGGTACTTTGAGTTGCAGATTATTGCAGACTAAGCAGTCTGGCTCTGCAGCAACACAAGGAGAAGGCTCTGGGAAAGGAGCCAGAGTCCATGAGAAATTAGCTCATTAATTCAGAATCTACATCACAGGCTCAGCCCTGCCTTGGACAGAGGGGAGGGCACACATACTTTCTTACACCCTTCTTTTAGGGGCTGCACCTCTTCCTAGAAGTCCAGTCACTTCTCTCCAGGAGAAGAACCCTTTGCACAAAATGCCCCCCTCAAAGCCACCCTTCTGCTAACTATGTAGAACTAAAGGAGAGAGAGAGTGGAGGAGCAGAGAGCAGGGCTACTGCCTGTAAGTATGAATCAAGCCCCTTCATTGCCTGAACACTTTGCCTTTTGTCCTGGTTTTTTCCCCCAATATGTCCCTCAGGCTGGACTCTGCTGCATTGCATGCTGACAGGAAAATGGCTTGGCTTGATACAAATTGCAGAATAGTATGACATCATTCCACAGAGCCACCAGCCTACACTGCACACATATATTGCTTTATTCTGCAATATTTCATATTTTTTTATTTAATCATTTTATTCATTTTGTATACACCTACAAATGTATCTACATGCAGATGTACCTGATCATATTTGCAGAATACTGTTTTTTTTAAAATATATATTTTTTATTGTGTAAATATGTATTGATCATGTCTGCTATATATCTATAGATCTATGAGGGTTCTTTTAAAAAGAAAATATAGTATGTGTTGCCATTTATATGTAAATATGTGTACAAAATGTGCATTTACATATCCATTTGCATATATATTTATAGATATTCATAGATATGTGTTGCTTAAATTTGCTTAAATTTATTTAATATTACTGCTTAGATATTTTATTTTTAGAATAGATTATTTAAATATAAGTCCTGCTGTTAGGAATGCTCAATCAGAAATTAATTTTGCTAAATATTTACAATGAAGGGTGAACTTCTCATTTTATATCAAATTCTGAATTCACAATGTAGTCTCTATTATGGATACAGTGAGCCAGTTTTCATGACTAACATTGTAAAATGCTTTGTGAATCCAGTTAATGTATGGCTGCTGTCAGTTGTCCCTGGGTTAATACAGATTATGCCACATTCACACCTTGTCCATGTTTGATGGGTGTCATTGTTTAATGTGGGTTCCATGGTGAAAAGTTGGCTCAATAGATTAGGTTGCCTTTCTTGGCACAGATGGTCCATCTCTAGAAAGGTTATGTAACATACCCTGACATTTCCAAAAATATCCCAGTGTCAAAAATGGAGTGAGAATGGGTCTATGGTCCAGCAGGGCTGCCTGCAGTTCTACAGATATCTGTCTGTCTGTGGGGTATTGGAGTGGGCTAATCTCACTGGCTGTGGGGGTGGAGTGGGCATTATTTTGTACTGTCTTGGTGTCTCATTGTGTGAATCACTGGAGGTGCACTTCAGAGTTGTGAGGACAGCTAATAATAGACTTAAGCAGTTGCCAGGAGTGTATTTATTTATTTATATTATATATATATATATATATATATATATATATATATATATATATATATATATATATATATATATTACTTTTTTTTATTTATTTTTTCATAAAATTCTAAGCTTTCCTCCTCTTGGTTTTAAATTTATGTATTAACACTTCAGATGCCAGTAGAGTGGGCATTGCTTTGCATGTATCCTTACCAATGCTTTATTTCATGGGAATTACCTACAAAAATATATTGTCACTCTCCTGTTCGTTCTGTGTTTAACCCTTTAAGAGTCAAAAATGGTCCGAATGCATTGATTTGCAACGTGTTGGGCTCACCTCTGACACTCAAAGGGTTAAAAGAGGTGCCAGTCGGTAGCCTGGGTAATAAAACTTTGTGCATAAAATTCAACTGGCTAACCTCATAATGTGGCATTTTATTACATCAGCTGTAGATGATTATATCTTTTTAATGTATTTATATTTTTAAGAAATATAGTTTGCTTATAATTATCTTCATTTTTTTTTTTTTTCCAGACTGTTCTACTTGTGCCTATGGCTACCATGCAGTCCCACGGCTGCTGGCAGATTATTAAAATGGTAAGAAATAAAGGTGATTATTAGAATTTATTCTAACATCAGACTTGGTTGGTTCTGAAACAGCTCAAATTTCTCCCAGTGAATAGCCTCTTCTATTAATTCCAGACAGCTTGCAGTCTACAGCTCCTCCTCTTTCAGATTCCGAATTGTAATATTCCCAGGCATCCTACAGGGGACAATAGCTGTCCTCAAATTTCTAGAACTCTGGATACATTGTTTCATTAATGCCAAGCATGTATGTTCGATCATAAATACATACCTCCCAAGTGTCCCTTTTTAGGAAGAACAGTCCCTGTTTCTGATCCAAAATGGCCATATTTTACTCTGGTGTTCCTCTTGGGCAATTTAAAATATTGGTGGGCATTTTAGGAATGTAGAATTAGTTTTGTAATTTTTTTAGACAACAGGTCAATGAGAGATCTTCTACTCCCCAATACCAGACGTGTGTCTTCATAAGAAAATGATTATACTTCCACTGGCCGTTCATCCATGTTAACAGGCAGCTGTTCTCTTTATTTTACTGATATTAGCACATTACGATTAGAGACAGATACATTAACCCATAATGTTATAGATATACATTTGGTTGCCTTGGGGACTGATCATTGATTGGAACTCCAATTATTTTTAATCGTTACTGTCATATAGAACACACTGTAATTTCCCCATTAGTTATTGATGTTAATAATTCTGTTCTCACTCATGGCTGGCCAGTGCCCCCCATCCCTACATACCTGAGTAGTGGTGTTCAGGTCAGTGAATGGATCAACAGCCACTGTGTCTGCCCTCGTGTCCCACTCCATTAAAATGTATTTCAATATGTATCTGTGATGGAGCTCCCGTTATCCGGCTGAGTACTTCCGCCAAGTCAGCTTCCTCGCTGTCACCAGAGGACTCTGGAGCACTTCAGACACAGTCGCCGAAGCTTGACTGGGGTCTCTGAGGAACTCTTCCACCGAACAAGGCTGCAGCCCTCTACTTCCAGGCAGATATCGGCCCCTTCTGTTCCTCTCCCAGGCAGGTATCAAAACCACGGCCTACACTGTCTCCCACTACTGCCTTTTATAAAAGGCACTTGTGACTCTCAGGTCTAGTTCTTTCTTAACTCGTCCCAGGAATCAGGGACCAGTGGAGCCGCCCAATAAGTCCGAAAATTCTGTTACTTGCATCCACGAACAATCCAAACAGAACACACAGTTCCCAATAATAACAAATAAAATCTATGTATAGAGGGATGGGAAGACAATGACTAACAAATGTGTCCCCTGCCTGCAGAAACTATAATCTGCAAATCTATCTAAATATGAAAATTACAGAGTTATGCTATTCGACTTATGCACATAACGGTTGCAAACAACATGCTTACATGCTCTAATGCTCCATGTGATGGTGACTACCGTCACATATCTCTCCCCCCAAGGATAGCCTAACCAGGTACCATAACTCCAATCGGTTTGTGCCTAAGTTATTCTGGTAACCAGCCCCCAAAAGTGTGTCCAACCTTGAAGACTCCTGGAAGAAGCTCCACCGCATAGCTCTGTTGTGTTAGGGAAGGAAGTAACTGCCTTCTAGCTACCTCCACCTCCTTTCACAGTATTTCAGTCCGCCACTGGGGTGGGAGGCTAACTACCTCCCTTCCCGGTAGCTTAACCTGCCTTTGTATTGTTGTAATCTGCTGCTGGAGAGAGAGGCAGACAACCTCCTCTCCCTGGGTTACAATTTGCCGCTTGGGAGGTAGGCTGATTACTTCCTCTCCCTGAATGCTCTCATGCCTCTGGGGAGGGAGATCTACTACCTATAGACATGTGTGTGTGTGTGTATATATAGACCATAACATTTCCCTGCACTTAAAACCATCTCTCCCTCAACTTAAACTTCTGGTTTACTTGCAATTGACCCCCTCTCTCCGCAACTAATATCCCCATGTTTTACTAGCGATTTAAGGTAGTAACTGTGCCATGCTTAAATTCCCATAAACTTTTTTTCCCCTCTCCTTCTGCCCTACACACATACAGAGACTCGGTAACACATAACACACACAGGAGGGCACACACACACAGAGATTCAGTAACACATAAAACACACAGATAAGGGCCTGCAATCATAGAAGCACAGTGAGACCCGTACAGACCCTGCACACAGCCACACAGAGGTATACATTCACATATAAACAGACAACACAACAGTATATTCTCATAGTTGTACAGATACACATATCATACAGACACATGCGCAGATACAACATTACGAGAACAGTAACCTATACACACAAACAGACCAGCAAAGCATTTAGACAGAAATGTCATTTAAAGACACACATTAAAGTGGATCTGTCATTTTTGTGACTTGTCTAGTTGGGGTCCGGTAGCTGCTGGTGCAGTGGAAGGTAGGTTTATTTACCTGAAGCTGTCCCTAGTGGCTACTGCCATATTGTGCCTGGACGTCTGCTTCGGTACATGGCGCTTCATTTTTCACTGCTGTACTCTTCCTCAAATGGCAACACTGAGTTCTATGGAGTCTCAATAGATCCCATCGCGTGAGACCATACCTGGACCCGACAGCCTACACTTCCCCCTTCCTTTCTTAGCACTTCCACCATACTTGAGATAGCGCCTCTTTTCTGCCCATCTTTTTATTATTCCGAATGTGGCTGGGATATGATGACATCACATCGTGTGCGCACTGCTTGAAGGGCCCCCAAACCGCCTGGGTCCCGGCAGGTCCACCCCTACATCTCAGAGTCTGATGCCAGTAAAAGATGTGATAAAGAAAATATCACGGCTGCAGCTATTGCGCCTGTCTATAATTTCAAGAATAAAAAAAAAATGTCACAATCTAATTGCTTGCACCAGTAAAATAATTTACCTAATAAATTAATATTAAAATACATCCTGTATTCGAAAACCCTTGCATCATTCCAGATGTAACAACAAAAAATAAACTATTTCTTTGTAGATAGGCATACTTTAAAATACAACCATCAGTCACAATAGAGGCACCATGTGTACCATGTTTTCTTTTTAATTGCATTTTGTTAATCTACGTCCGTGATAGAACAGGTTTAACTTATCAAGCAAGTTGTACCGCAAAAGAACTTAAATATTCAAATCGCAATGCTTGCATTACTTAATTTCCGACATAGACAACATGCTATCTAGTACAATATCAAATGTAAATTCAACACTAGTCTACAATAAAGAAAGACCTAACCAAAACAAAAAATTAATAAAACCAGGACAATACGAAAGGGCCCACAATGAGACTAGAGGTGACACTGCCCAGAAAGACGCCCATCCCACTAACCCCCAACTCCTCCCGAGGTGGATTCACATTTTTAAAACTAATTTAGCTGTTTAGCAGATAATTCTCATATTTGCTATGTTAATGTGGGATTGCCATGTTTAAGGACAACAAATAAGGGAGCCATCTGCTAAAAAGAGAGCTAATTTATTATTCATAAATATGGAAATCCCACAGGACGGTACCAATTGGGGTATTAAGTTAGTGTGCTATCTACTAAACACACACACACACAATTACAGACATTCACATACAATCACAAACATACGTATGACCACACAATCACAAACATAAGTATGACCACACACACAACAGACATACAGGCACAACTCCAGAAATACACACACACACACACACACACACACACACATAAGCGCAAACATACGTATGACCACACACACAGCAGACATACACACATAATCACTGACATACACACAAAAAAATCACAATCATGGTTGGCGCAGAGATCACAGCTCCGATGTGCATTGTCTAATGATGCCGATTCTGAGATGATGTCATATCCTGACTGCTGGCTCACCGCAGGGTGCGCAAGGGAGCTGGCAGGAAGAGCACAGTAAGTAAAGGGCTCCCTGCCTCTCTCCCCACCTCTTACTCTCCAGGTAGAGTCCCCTCTAACCCTCCAGACTGGACTCCAAGAGATTTGGGCACAGTAAGCACCTGCCCTGTATGCAGGTAGGTGCTTTCTCTGCTCAGTTTAGTCATCTGCTCCTCCAGCTCTGGCGCTCTGAAGGGGAGGCCAACAGGGGGGCAATCCCCCCCCCCCCATCCTCCTCTAGCAAATGTTATGGTGCTTAGAATGTCCCTTTAAGTTTACAATAAGACGGCAGATGCCCAGAGAGAGAGAAAATACAATAGAGCAAATTTTGCTGCAGAAGAAACCAACCATAATAATAGCGTCTGCATTTATATAAAAAGAAAGTAACATATGCAGCTACTTCCTCGAACCTAAAGCCCAGCTTTTGAATCATTGATTTTCCTTGAAAACTAAGACAGGTATGCTGCTAACACATTGGATGAAAGAAATATAGGCCTCACAGGCTTCCTTTGTGTCTCTGTCCTAATTTCCGGAAAAGAAAGCTGAAGAAGTAAGTCTGCCCATGTGTTGATATAGAGCCACAACGTGTCCATTACACAGTGTTAGATATATATTTTAGAACGGTTAAGTTACCACACATTTGTGTTGATCTTTTTTTTTATAAAGGACTTGCTTGTCTCAAAACTTTACTGTCTCTTGAACTTGTCCGACAGTTTATCTTCATTAATGGTCATAGTGCGACCACACGCTGTTGCACACTCTGAGAAATTATGTAATTAAAAAAGGTAACGAACTAGTGTTTCCAACGGCCATTCACATTGGACATTATTTTCTGAATTGTTTCTCTGTTTAGGACTACAGACCAAGTTTAACAATCTGCTGCAACCGGGATCCATACGAAACCAAATTGAAAGATGGGAGATATCCAGAGGTATGTTATTGTTGCAGAGATGTGTGTGTGTGTGTGTGTATGTATAACCACCTCCAAAATTATCCAGATAAACTCTTATGAATTCGTATGAGTTGCTCTTAAAGTTACTCTAAAGTCTCAGATCCCAAACTATTTCTGACACATTAGTGTATGTATTTTAACTTTTATTTATAGTCAATTAATGATTGCCAAGTTTAATGGGTGCCAGGAACATATTATATAATTGTAATCTCTGCAAAAGTCCTGAAAATGACTGCTTTCCCCCTCCTTCCAAACAGTGACGGAAACTTGAAAGATCATACGATTACTACAGTCAGGGAGCGGAGACGAGAGAATGGTAGCTCTCGTACAGAGATTACTATAAATCTTTTAAATACCTTTTTTTTTTTTTTTTTTAATATATCTTTTAACTGTATGTGTGCATTGTTCTGAAATGCAGACATTCTTTTTACATACAGTCACTATTTCCAGCAAGTTGTACTTGGGTCCTTTTTATTTATCTATATTTGTCACATCCATTATATAATTTATTTTTATTTTTTTTACCTTTATACTAATATATTAGATCTTGAGTAAAATATTACACAATAAAGTACACTATACTATATATAATAGCAGTCTGTACAATGTTTTGTTAATATTTTTTCAAACACAAATTGCTTGCTAGTGAAAGGGTTACAGAAGAAGCCAGTCTAGGCCAGGGATCACAATTTCTGTCCCTACAGATTTTGCAGAGCAACTCCCATGATTATCTGGGATTATCTGGCTATCTGTTCCATTTACAGAATTCTCGGAGTTGAACGTCCCAGAGTGTGAGACTCCTGGTCCAGAGCCCATAAGCATCACAGAGTGTTATATGGCTTATGGTGCCAGGAGTCACATTCACCATCCAATGGCTAGTAGTCAAACCATTTTCAAATATTTTAAACTTACCTTGGGCACCTGTGGTTTGGTCTTCTTCTCAAATATGCCTAAAACGGACGTTCCTTTATGAATTTCATCCCAATTTAGGAGCATTGTGGGCTCCTACAATGCACTGGGAGACTTGGAAAACTGGATCATAGGACAGTTTGGCTAAACCAAATTGCGCACCATTTTACACCTTCTGGTTTATTCCACGTTGGCCAAATGACACAGGGACCCTGTGAAGATTTGGTGGAGCTGTTAGTGTCGCAACAATTTACTTGTGGTGGGCATGGCGTGTAGAGCATTCCTTTAATTTTTGTATTAAATCAATCATTAAAAGGGACTGAAACTAGATTCCAGTTCCAAGGGTCCCCGGTAAGATTTCGGAGAGATTAATGATCAGACAGTGCAGATAGAACAATGACTTATCCTTTTAGGATTACAGCTCATGCTTTGATTTTAAAAAAAGCTGTTTTTAAAACCATGTCCATTGTGTTCCTTGAGAACACAACACTTTTAGGAGGAAGTTTAGAAGACAATGTCTTTCTTTGGTCATTTGCATGTCTAGTGGGGAACCTGGGATTTCTAAAGGGACTTCCCAAAGTCAAAGTAAATGCATTTTTTATTTATTTTATTTATTGATAACATTAGCTGTTGGGTGTAGACTAGATGTTAAGCTGACGAGGCAGATCATTTCTCGCTAGTGACTCAATAGATACCATTTGTGTACATGTACATATGATGGCCAGATGCCCAGGTTAGGGGATGCATTGGGAAAGTATTTTTGTGACTCAGTGGAACAGTTCCTGCTGACCTCAACATACTGATCAGCTGTGAGAAGATGAGTCGATGTGGTTCTTGCGTTTAACTGCTTTATTATTCAGACATCTGTGTCCCTTTAACAGGGCATCTAAATTACATTTCAGCAAGGTTCTAATAATTTGTTTAGCTTAACGTTTTTTTTTTTTTTCCTAGAGTCTGGTTAGAAGATGACTCATTTTGGCTTCCAATTATTTTGGCAGATAATCTGGCAAATAAGTAATTCAAAAAATGACTAAACAAAGCAGAATGTTTCATTTTCTTTCCATTAGCTGTCTGAGCTGTTTTGTTAACCAGCCTGTGTTATTGTATGTTGTTAGAAGCAAATAACAGGGAATTTAAATTTCTCACTAGTTTAGGTGATAATCATTTGCACATGTGGGTTTACCTCCCTAATGTATAGTGGCTTTATCATCAGGAATTTTCTGTGTCATCGTATAGCGCTTTAAATACAACAAATGCCTTTTGTTAACAATTTATATTTCTGTTACACTTTTTTACAATTCCTAGGTAAATTCCTGTGGGTATACAGAACTGCCTTGTGATGTCTAACAGAGAGACACTTGGGGGAAATTTATCAAAATCTGTTCGTATTTATTAAATTGGTCTAAAAATAGTATATCACAAAACTCTGCCATCTTTGGAAAAAAAATGAAAGTAATTTTCAGAAGAAAAAAAAAACCCATTCAGAGTTACAGGAAAAAAAAAGAAAAGTGAAACATACACACTTCTAGCAGATGATTGGGACGTCGTAGAAAAAAAAAAAGTACATTTAGAAACGACTGTTGGGGTACAAAAGAAGCAACAAACCCCAATAGATGTAATATATTGCTCAGAAAAAAAAAAAAAAAAACTTGCTAAACTGTTTGTGTAATGCTTCTAACAGTCTTTTTTCTTTTTGTATTTAAAGATTTAAGGAAAAAAAAAAAGTTGTATTTGTTTGTATATTGTTTTAAGTCACCAACACTGTGGTTGTTGTCATTTTATCCATCCAGTGTAGGAATGCAATTCCGACACAGTTTCATATTATTTCTATTTCACACCTCACAAACACACATTTCTTAAATATAGGGCATAAGTAAACAGAATATTTTTTTTAAAAATTACACTAATCAAGATTTTAAACACTTTAGTGCAACATTTTTTGTTTTTCACAAATCTCATGACTATTTTTATGTTTTACTGAAAATTCCTAATGGTTAAGAAATCCTATTTCATTTAATCATGTGGCTCCGTGTCAAATCCCTGAACACGTTCACAGCTGAGAGGAGCTGTCCAAAAAAATGCTTTGGGAACTTTACTCGGATTTATCTGTGTGCCAGCAGACAAAGCGGCCATTAACTAAACAGTGATTTGTGAAGAGTTAATAACTCCCAAGTGTCCCTATTTAGGAGGGACAGTCCGTATTTTAGGCTAGGGAGTTTCCATAGCAACCTCAGCGCATGCGTTGTGGTTGCTATGGAAGGAGAGCCCTGGGACTTCCTGTGGGAGGTCTTTTCTACTCTCCCTTGTCAGTCAATGACTGACAGATGGGAGAAAAGCCTATTTTTAAATGGCCTTTTCTTCTAATCTATGTATATGCCAGCAAAACATCTAACACAATGTTAGAATTTTATGTTCATTCTAATTTTTTGTTGCATAAATTGTTGTAGTCAAATAAAATTACGCAGAACAGCCCCTCCCCTGGCCACACAGACAGCAACACCCCTAAACTAACATGTCCCTCTTTGTCCATTTGAAATGTTGGGAGGTATGACAAGTTGACTACTGTCTTCTAAAATTCTGGGCAAATTAGCTGAGTTGGTAAAAATCTTCCTGGCAGCTTAATAGGAGAATGTGTTTCTAAGCCTGGTATTCATGCCAATACAAGTTCCACAAATTACTGTTCAATGTGTCGATGTTATGCTTCCTGCCACATCCCAACACATCAATAGCGGAGACTGCTCTGTTGATTTAAAAAGTCCCAAATAAAATAAATATTGGCCTGCTTCAAATTTCGACTTTTAAATACTTTTCAATGAAACATGAAGCATTTAAAAATATCTTTTTTTTTTTTTTTTTTCTAGAAGTTTGGTAAAATCACTCTGCATATACCAAACAAAAACAAGACAAAAAATAAATTTGCTAGTGAAGTAGCCGAGTGGATGGGGCTGTAGCTTTAGAGATGTAGCTTCAAGCACCATAGCCACTGGAGCAAGCTGTAGTGCCCCTCTGATGTAAGCGGTCAAACCGTTTTACCTGGGGTCCAAAAGATACTGCTCCACAGCTGACAGAGAGCTGGTTCAGGGATTAGTTCAGCCAATGTGCTTTCAATACAATGCTTGGCCTAGCTCAAGAGTGCCTTTAGTGATTATGGTGCTTGGAGCTTTCATTTTATTCCTAGCACTTAGTTGGATAGTAGATAACTAGGAAAACAATATGCCATTGCATGTACCTTTATGCTAGGTAAATGGATAGGACTGTGATGTTATTTGTATTTACATGTGGGGTATATCAATCTCCTTTTTTGTTTAATGGGCCAATGTTTGTTTGGTAAGCGGTTCACTTAAGGATCCTGTCTTTTATCGAGTCATTTCCAGGGCAAGTGAGGACAGCGTACTCTTTATTCAAATCGAGTCAAATCAATTGCGCAATTCCTGGCCAGCAACCAGACCGAGCCCTGTACGAAATGGAATGTTAAAACCATCACCTTGCAACATAAACAAACACACAATACTTTTCTCAATTTTCACAATACAACACTTTGAAAAAAATTCTGTAAAAATTGTATATATCTTCTTTTATATAACCTGTGACACGATGTATAATTGTTTACATACCTTGACAGAATGTAACATGTGACCGTTTATTTAAAGGTTTATATATATTCACTGATTATAATCAGTGACGGAGTATAAAAAGACTTGCATTTCAGAATGTAATACATATTATATTACATACCTTGACATAGTATAATACATGTGGCAGTGTGTATAACGTTTTACATACATTGCGTGAATTTAATATTCGTGGTAGTGTATATTATACGTTATATTATTTTGCTTTTTTATTAATGTGTTTTCCTTCCCCAATGTTTCATTTTGTTTTAAGCTATGATTTTCTTTTATCGCTGAAAATAAAATGTTACATGTAATATAACCTCCTGGTGTATTCTTTAGTTATGAATACCTATAAATGAATTAATCTTTTCAATGAATCTTCTGACTTATCCCTGCTCTGTAGCACTCTTTGGTGAAGTCACACTTATCTGTTCAGAGCATGTACAACTGGAAGGTTTAATACTGTCTCAGAGTGTATTTTTTTTTGGTATTTCTGACCACAACTAGGTCTTGAGCTCTGCATGGTCTTTTGGTCAAAAAACGTAAGCTTCATGGTATTCATCACAAAAATAATACACACAGAAGCTTTAATACATGTAATCATTCATCTTAAATAATATTACAATTGTGACAGTTTTCCTTTAAGTATCGGGACCTCCGCATGTTGCAAGTAACAAACGCAGTCTTTCATTTTTTTTTTTCTGTACTGGAAATATCTCCTTAATGATGTTTTATGTTGGGGAATCTTTCTTTTTTTTTTTTTCATTGTACATTTATTTGGGCTATCCCTTCTTGCTTTCCGATGATTGCGTTTTCATTTTCTTGTGATTTTATGCTTTTATTTAGTGACGACTTTGTTAGTGGACGTGTGATTAATAATAATGTTTGACTTTTTTATTCTTTCAGGGATATCTTCCACTTTCTGAAGAAGTCAATCACAAGTAGAACACTGAGGCTGGATCGTCCCTGACTCCAGGAAATGGCTGCAAACATCATTTTACATAAATTTAAATTACCTCTTCCTTTTTTAATCATATATCTTCCATGTGTAGTGCATTTGGTTTCTGGTTCTTGAAACGGTCATGATGTCATATATTGGGAAATGTTGTTCCTCTGTAAATCATCAAGTGTAAGAATCTACGGGACTCTGAGCCTTGCTATAAACTGAGAATTATGATGGACAAAACGTACCATAAATCAGTTGTAACAGACCAGGTAAAGGAAATAGTTTCACACTGTGAAATCCACAAATACACCAAGCACAGGTGGGCCTTGTAGTCTGTATCTACCACAGCAATTTCTTCCATAACTCACACAATACAGTTAAAAAAAAATACTTAGACTTACAGTTTATCTAGAAATACAGTATCCTCGCAGAGGCTAAGAGTCCCCCTGTTCTATATTATTTTCACTTAGATGTAGCATAACTTAGTTTTAATTTTTTTTTCATCCATTGTCTGTATATCTCTATATTTTATTCATGTACACTTTTAATGTATAGAAATAGTTGTTTGAAACACATTGTTTCCTTGTGGTGACAGAGAAGCTGCCACGGGACATGAGACACTGATGAATGGTGCTATTTTGGGATTTTTAAACATTGCCCCTTGGCAAGGTAGCTCTGATGGGAGTTATTTTTATTTTGTTTTATTTTCATGTTCTGAGAAAGGTATTGGGTATTCTTCTGATTGTCGTTCTATAGATGGGACTGACTTTTCGTCTTTGTTGTAGCTTTTTTAATTCAATCTTTTAGGAAAAATAACTGCTAACAGAGCAAGTGAGAAAAAGTATTTTTTTAAATTATTCTTTAAATTCCGGGTGGATTCACCAACAAGTAACCGTTGTAGTGGGAGCAATCACAAAACTGTAATTTGCCTAAATATTTTATCTACGACCCATTTTTACATGAGAGGGAAAAAAAAAAAGCAATAAATGTTTACTAACCTTGTTGAAATATTTTTTTCAATTTTTCTGTTTTAATATTTTTTTCAATTTTTGTTTAGATGGCACACTTTTAAATAAAGAGAGGGGCAGGTTTCTGAATGTCCTGTGGTTTGCGAAAGCGATTACTTTTAAGAGTAAGGCAGCTAGTAATATTAAAATTATATATTTTATTTTTTAAAGATGAGAAAAAAAAAACATTACAAAATCATTTCAAAATCTTACACTTTTGTTCTTGCTCCCTGTGACAAAACAATTAGGTAACCTCCTCATGGAATGTTGTTGTGTTAGACACAATCTGGAAGCCCACCTTAATTTCTTTTTCCCTATGAATCTGTCTTTTGCTCTTCCTTCACAGTCCAGATAATCTACTGAACTGTTTTCTTGCTTTTGACTGTTATATAAAAGTGCATGCTTTAACAGTTTTCCTTTTTTTTTTTTCCATTTACCTTTTTATTTTTATTTTTTTTGAGTGTCATGTTGTACAATTAGAATATATGAGCTGAGCTGTAAATAGTAGAGCAATTAATCAATATTAAGCAGTTGTGGCATTTATGTATTATTGCAGTTGTGTATCGATAAAAAGGCAAGCTTTTGTAATAATGTGATCTCTAATGATGCACTACACGTACCCAATGTATTTGAACTATTTTAGTAGAATTTGGTCAATAAATATGCAAGCTCTAACGATTTTAAAGGTTGTGGTTATTTGTTACAATGTCATTTTAATAATTGCTGTATATTGAGTTACACCTGACACTGATTGTCTGGACCTGGTTATAGTTTCTTCATATATTGAGTACACTGTTGGCCAAAAGGTTGGATATTAATCAAGTATACATAAGTAGAGAGCAACATACAAATCATGTTGTGCCTAATAGCAGGTGGATAGTGTACTCGTGCAAAATGTATAAAGTCTGAATTTTCACTGAATGCGCTTGCTTGGTATAGAACGTGGTCCTTCCTCTGTGGGTACGTGTAAAAAGCATAATAAAGATACTAGTATACTATTCTCCTGTAACTAGGCACAACCCGTCTTGTATGTTATTCTCTGTTTCAGTTTTTGGGTATCGAGGGGGTCCCCTTTTTCAGTGTCTGCTGTGCTGTCTTGGGTAACCTGCTATTCTAATTATTAGCACTTGTCCATTTTGTGTACACTTCTCTAAGTAAACATGAGTGTTTTAAAACTGTATAGCTATAAAAACATGCTAGGTAAGTAATTATAGGTAAACATGCTGAACTACGTATAGGCAAGTATTAACTAAGTATAGGAACACAACGCTTGTTGCGAGAGCTTAGGCTTACCTATATGAGCAACTGGCTGAAGATGTAGCCACTGGAACAATGCAAACACGAGCACCCTGCCTTACTAAACGTGGTCATGAGAGGGCAAGTAGATAGGATAGTTGAGGCTAGGGCTTAGTGTACAGATAAAATGTAAAATAAGAGCAAATCTTTGTAAACAGAAAAGGCGTTTCACATGCTTAATAAATGCTAGATTGCTTCTTTAAAGTCACGGGCACACAGTTAGATTCGGGTCATCTGCTTGAGTATGAAATGCTTGGCGTCTTATCAGGCTGTCCCTCATTCAAATGTGCTTCACTTGACTCCCTGACCTGTCATTGCTCGGAGGATGCAGCTAAGTCCATCAGGATGGGCTCAGTTGTAGCTGTGTGTAAGGTACTGCTCTGTTCCTGGCCCCTGTCGGTGCTTGAGACCCGCTTAGCAGGGCAGCGATCAGAGGTAGCGGCACTTTGGGAACAAGGTAAGATCACCCTCCAGCCCCAGGCCGATATAGAGGCTGACATCTTCGGTCCACGGACACGGTATCATTGATGGGCCGAGTCCCTCCCGGGTTGGGAGTTTTGGGGTATTCCGATGGTTTGCCGCTGCCCACTGCGGTGGGCCCTCCGTCGGTGTGGACAATGTCTCTAGGTCAAGCCCTTGGTGGTCCTTGGCCCAGGTAGACCGCTTCCGGCACCTTAACAAATTCATGGAAATTTAGCTACGGGGGTTTAATATACCTGTAGGGGTTTAACCGTTCTCAAATGGTTTAACCCCAAAGGTTGTCTCCAGCACCGGGTCTCCAATTCCACAGCGGCACCCGGCTTCTGACTTTGACAAATCGTGGCGTGTCGCCGCTGGTTAGCTGGAGTGGTCAGCTGACGCTCTGTGCCAATCAGTAGCTCTCCATTCTTTAAAAGATGTACGTACCTTTTAAACTCTTCAGATAATAAAGTGCCTGTGGACTTCATGGCATTGTAACAACTTAATTTCAGTAAAGTTGTTATGGTACCTGGAGTGTTGTTTGTTTGTTTTTTTTATAGGATATCTGGCGATTCGTCGTAGTCTAGCGTGTTAGTATCGTAGATTAGACTTACATTCCCACGGCTTCTTTATACACCTATAATGAGTATATAGTGAACGGATGTATAAGTCTATTTACTGCTACCATACTTCAAGATGAATAGTTTTGGCATAGTAAGGGTTTACTCTGCTCAATGAATAGCATTGTATCTGTATTCTTCAATAGAGGAATTGCTACTCATTAATTCAGGAGGAGAACCGAGCTCTTGGTATATAACCTCTGTAAATACTCTTTTCATCAACAGCTGAGACCTTCATGAAGTGGAGCGCTCTGATTTCTTATTAATATCAATATTAAATCAATTTTTTCTTGTAGGTTGTGTCACAGCCAGGGGAGGTGTGAATAGGGCTGTATAAACAGGAAAAAAAGGGATTTAAGTCCTCAACGGCAACGTATTGAGCAGTAAGACCGCAGGGACACGATCTATATACTAAAACTGCTTCATTAAGATAAACTGCTTTATTACGTTTAGGTGTTTAGAGTGTCCCTTTAAACGAAATGTTTTAAACTATCTAGAAATAAACATTTTGCTCGGCAGTCAGTGTAATTGTTCTTGTGCAATTTTGGTTTTAAGGTTAAGGACAGTTTTGTATCTCTTGGATAAAACCTGAGTAATTACTCGTTTTCCCTTAACTTCCTTATCTTTTCCTAACTTGCCCTCATTCAAAGACCCCTGAGCATACAAGCTTTAAATAATTCTTGCCATCCACGCTGCATGAAGCACTGTAGTTGTCCACAATGTGATCTTCATTCCATAACTCCTAGAAGTGCATGCTGGAATCTTTGAAATTCCATTTCATCACTTGGAGGTGATGTACATAGCCACTCCGGACCTTGCGATGTCAATTTGAAAAACTTCCCTGCTGTATGTTTGCTAGCAATTTGGCTGACGCAATGTATGGATTAAACATAAATGTTACACCAGATGCTATTTGATCAAGTAAATGGAACAACATGACAAAATTAATTGACCAACAATTAAATGACTAGGCTCATGGGATCATATCACATAGATTTCTATTAAATATGTATCATTAATACTGTCCAGATTGGGGGGAGTGGGGGGGAGCGGGACTGACACTATAGCCACATCTCAATGAGGTGGTCTATGTTTAAAAAAAAAAAAAAAAAGTGTTTCATTAATCAATCAGAAAATGAACTTTCAGTAACCATAGCTTTACAAAAACCTGATTTTATTCTTTCCAAAAGGTTCTAAATGTAATAATGCAGCATGTGGGTCTAACATCAAACCAGCGCCATATTGTCAGGATCGTTTTAGGGATACGCTGAAAAGGAACCTAAAAATGTAAAACAGGAAAGATATAAAATAACAGAATGGCTGGACTTTACCAAATACCACTAAGGAGACATAAAGTAAGTGCCAGTAAATGGGCAACCAATATCGGGACACCATAAATACACAACCTCATTCTATAAGCCAGGTCTGGCATACCAGTACAAAAATAAGCGTATAACAAGCTGCGTCAAATCTAGTTACTGTTTAGGTCTCTTTCTAAGTCTCACTTGTTTCATTCATCGAGTATAAAATAATTTCCCATAATAATGATACAAAACTATAAATCAGACATTTTTTTTTCTTTTCTAGAGCACCCAATTATAATAGTGTACCATTTAA